AGTGTTATTTTTCAAAATTTTTTCTTTGTTACATTATTAATATATTTTACTATTTTTATATCATAAACATAATGATTACTTTATTATACTTTTGCATTACAATCAGTGTAAGAATAACCTTTATACTTCGTCGATAAACTCCTTAAAATTTTACTTTTTTTTTTAACCAAAAGCACCTACCAGTCATGGTAGAAGAAAATTCACCTGTTTAATTGTGTAAAAAGTTACATTATTTTAATCCAAACTAATGATACCTTATAGGAGTTATGCCAATACCAGAATGTGTTTCCTTGTTCTAAGACAATTAGTAAATAACAGGGAAAAACCCTAAGCTAAGTTGGGGTTAATTTGTTGGTCATGTTACCTTTTTATGGCCACAGGTTGAAGTCTTTGCTTTCTATATTCATTTCTTATCGATTTTCAATCTTCAAGGGATTTCTTGGTTGTTTCCTGCTTGCACTAATTTTTTCAGTCCTTTCTTTGCCTTTCTTAGAAGGTTTATTAGTTATAAGAAGTCTTTTCCTTTTGTCTATAGGTTTTAGCTGCTCTTGGTACAGACTACTTTGAGCATGTACTTCCTGATGTTATTCGTAACTGTTCTCATCAAAGAGCATCTGTTCGTGATGGATATCTGACACTTTTCAAGGTAAACAGAAGGCACCGCCAGATTTTGATTGTTAAGTGAATGGTTTGCTTGATTTTCTCTTTTTAATTGGCAATGTTTGATTGCAGTATCTGCCAAGGTCCTTAGGCATTCAATTCCAGAACTATCTACAGCAGGTGCTGCCTGCTATATTAGATGGTAAGTCTCTCTGTCTCTTCATCAGTTCTCTCTCTCTCCCTCCTCTTTCTCTCGTGTGTATAAATAACTATAATGTCTTCAATTCTCTGGTTGCTCATATGCAATGGTAATTCTGGGTGGATTGTATACTCTGGTTGCTTATATTCATTGGGAAACCTTGTTACATTTTTTTGAGTGACTGCTACTTATGATGTACAGGTCTTGCTGATGAGAATGAATCTGTGCGGGATGCAGCACTAGGTGCTGGCCATGTCTTGGTTGAGCACTATGCAACAACGTAAATGCTCAGACTTCGTTTTCTTCTGTTGTTTTTTCCTCTATTTATGTCTTCGAGCATGCACTTTGGAATGCTGGAAAATATGGGCAAAATTAAGATAGGTCTTTTACAAAGGAAAATATTTAGATCCATGCTTCCCATATTAAATTAACAGTCTGTAGCTTAAAAAATTTTCATAAGATCCATGCTTCCCATTATCTGGGAATTGGATGTAATGGTTTTGATTTTTATTTAGTGAGGTATTTCTTTTTTCTGAAACTATCCGTATACGTTTCTGGCAGGTCCTTACCTCTGCTCCTTCCAGCTGTAGAGGATGGTATTTTCAGTGACAATTGGCGAATTCGGCAAAGTTCTGTTGAACTGTTGGGAGATCTCTTGTTTAAGGTTTATAACCTTTGACAGTTGGTGAAATTATATGTTTGTTTTTTTCTTTGAATTTAGGAAAGAAGCACAAATGTTAGTTCACTTATGAAAATGGACATGAAGTTGCCTTTGACTAAACTATTTCATTTTTTCCTGTTATGATGAAAGGAATTCACTAGTTATTCTGTATTGTCTTTATCTTCCCAGGTTGCTGGGACTTCTGGGAAAGCTCTACTTGAGGGAGGAAGTGATGATGAGGGCTCTAGTACTGAAGCACATGGACGTGCTATTATTGAGGTGCTTGGAAGGGAAAAGCGTAATGAGGTTCTTGCTGCATTATATATGGTTCGAACTGATGTTAGCATATCAGTACGTCAGGTAATGATGTTACAAATCCTACCTGCTTGTTTTTGTGACTTTAGTGAGATTCAATTGTTGGAATAACATCTAACCCTTCTCTTTTCAGGCTGCCTTACATGTATGGAAGACAATAGTAGCAAATACTCCTAAGACTCTCAAGGAAATCATGCCTGTTCTGATGAATACTTTGATTACATCCCTTGCATCATCATCTTCTGAAAGACGACAGGTCTTTTGCTTAATATTCCTATTATAGGATCTTTCTTCGAGTTGCTTTAGAATTTTTGCAATCATAAAGCATAATTTTCATGTAGGTTGCGGGAAGATCATTGGGAGAGCTTGTTAAGAAGCTTGGTGAAAGAGTCCTCCCATTGATAATTCCAATATTATCTCGTGGGTTGAAGGATCCAAATGCTAGCAGAAGACAAGTATGTCTTTTTTGTTTTCCTGTAAATGATTGTAGATTTTATCCTACTTTAGTTCTTCTAAAATGCTGAAAACTTCTTCCTCATATGTGGTCATGTTATCGTTAAACTAGAAGCCAAGGATACCTCCGTAACATTTTCAAGGACCATTTCTTTGTACTGGATAGCACTCACCTTGTTGATGAATAAATGTTTTTTCCTATTACAAAATTAATTAATTGATAATTTGTAGATACTATTTCATGGTTCTGTCCTGCTACTTATCCACTGTGGTGTGGGGTGTACAGATGCCTAGGAATCAGCTGGGTCATGTCGGGATCGGTAAGGGAGGAGATTGGGGCTTGGGAGAGTTTGAAAAGCTGCTGTTTTTTGGCAGACATTATTCCTCTTAGTATTTTGTGGGTTGAATGGAAAGTTAGGAATTGTAGAGCTTTTGATGGAATTGAGGATATTAAGGGTTTTGATGTACTGAAAAATAGATGGCTTAGGACCCTAAAATTTTTGCTTTCGGGTCATCCTCCGATTAAGGTCCAAATGTTTAGGAATACTTTCTGTTTGGAGGATTAAGCTGTAAATAATTGTACATGATCTGCACCAGTTGGTGCTTATAGCAATACATATTACACTTTTATAAAAGAAAAAAAAGAAGAAGCTATTTCATGGTTCTAAACATGCTGCACAAGGCATCCATGCGTTTCTACTTAATTTAGAATGTGGCAACGTTTAAATACATTTCCACTAAGATGTACCATTTCACATCTTGTTTAGGAATTCCATTTAAGATTTTCTTTTTTAGAAGAAAGGTATGGTAGTAAACCCAAGGAACCTAAGGAGTTCTGCTCATGTATGATTCCATTTAAGATTGTTCTTGATTATTGAATTATTTATTTAGAATTGTTCAGCCAATGCAACATTTTTAACGTTGAAATCTGTAGAAATTTTTGGTGTCTTTGTTCTCTAAGACCCGAAAGGGCTGAAAGGCAAAGTTAAGGTGGTGCCAGAAAAACTATCTGTGTTGCAATTAATTTTGCTAGAACTTTACTTTGTTATAAGTCAGCTTTTTTGTCTTTCCCTTCCTTCAAGTAAAAGTTCCCATTTATTTCCTCGTCATCTGATTAACATTCTAGCCATAATATACATGTGATGTAATTACCTCTGGTAGGTAAAAACATACAGCCTTGGTTTTGGTGATGGTGGAATTCAGAGAGATTAATTGTTCTTAGGTTTCTGTGAGTTTTCTCATTGTCTATAGCTGTAGTCGTCAATATATGAGAGATTGTGTTAGGTTCTCTTCAGTGCTATTCCTGACTGTACAAGGTATTGTGTTATCGCAAAGTGAAGGCCACGTGTCTATTTCTGCCTATCTGTTTGTCTAATCTTTTTCTCAATGTGGTTCTAATATTTGCAAATGACAGGGTGTATGCATCGGTTTGAGTGAAGTGATGGCTAGTGCTGGCAAGAGTCAGTTGTTGAGTTTCATGGATGAGCTAATTCCTACCATTCGGACAGCCCTTTGTGACAGGTTTGTGATACTCCACTTCTTGATTCAGCTAGAGATACTCCCTCTCCTTCTATCTCTCTCTCTCTCTCTATATATATAGCTGTTCTCAATATTGCATGAACAACTATCTCTTGTTTTTGGTCAGTGTTGCCGAGGTTCGTGAGTCGGCGGGCATAGCATTCAGCACATTATACAAGGTTTTGCTTTTGGTTCCTAGGTTACTTAATGTTCCTATGTTTAGCACAGCAAATTGCAGAGTGATTTTTCATATTATCATAATGTAGAGTGCTGGAATGCAAGCAATTGATGAAATTGTTCCAACTCTTCTTCATGCCTTGGAGGATGATGAAACTTCTGATACCGCCCTGGATGGGCTGAAACAAATATTAAGGTCACACTTTACCTTGGTATTTGGACTTTGAATTGTGTTTGGCATTTTTAGTTTCTTAATTATTTCTGCCTTTGCCATGCACTAAAGTGCTCTTTTTATCAATCTCAGTGTCAGGACGACTGCTGTTCTGCCTCATATATTGCCCAAGCTGGTCCATCTTCCCCTTTCGTATGTGTCTTTTCACTGCCATTAAAACTATTACTTTTTATCAGGTTCTTTAGTTATTTATTATTTACTAAGAGTTTTTGATATTTCTGCAGTGCATTTAATGCACATGCTTTGGGGGCTTTAGCAGAAGTTGCTGGTCGTGGCCTGAATTCTCACCTTGGAACTATACTTCCTGCTTTGCTCTCTGCAATGGGTGATGATGACGTGGTATGCTTCTAATATTGATGCTTTACCCTCTTTACCAGCATGTTGTTATTTTTCTCTCCCTCCTTTTCTTTTTTCTGTTAATATTTTGGATAAATGTTAACCTTGAACATGAGTGCATCTTTTATTGATCTTCATTCCATAAATTGTTTATAACTCATTGATAATACAGGATGTTCAAAATTTAGCAAGGAAAGCGGCAGAAACTGTTGTCTTGGTTATCGATGAGGAAGGTGTCGAGTTTTTAATATCAGAGCTCCTGAGAGGAGTTGCTGACAGTGTGGTATACCTCATATATGTTCAATTTCCTCTCTTATTCTGTCTTTGTGTCACCTCCCTTCCCACTCAGCTTCTTTGCTTGTATAATTTCAGGCTTCTGTCAGAAGAAGTTCATCATATTTGATAGGATATTTTTTCAAAAACAGCAAGCTGTATTTGGTTGATGAGGCACGTAACATGATATCCACCATGATTGTTTTGCTCAGTGATCCAGATTCAGCTACAGTAGCGGTACTTATTATTTGTTCATGAATAGGTGTTGACCATCAATGCATCAGTTTGTCTTACTGTCCGTCCAACAGGTTGCTTGGGAAGCTTTGTCAAGGATTGTTGCTTCAGTTCCCAAAGACTTACTTTCTTCATATATAAAACTGGTTCGTGATGCTGTTTGTACATCCAGAGACAGAGAACGTAGGAGAAGAAAGGTGAGTCAATGCCATGTTATATAATTAATATTCCATGCAAAACCATGCATTGGCTCTTTCCTTTTCTCTGGACTGTGTTCCAAATCAGGTGGCAGATCGTTTGCCTCATTGCTATACTACTGTTAAGCCTAGTCCTTTTCTCCCTTTCTTTCTTTGCCACTGGAGAATGACTTGTATCCCTTTATCTTTCTTGTTGGTAGAATTTTCATTCTAGGTTGTATTCTTTATTCCCTTTTGAAAGGGTTAATTTGAATATGCATTATGTTCAATAAATCTGCAGGGAGGAGCCATTCTTATTCCTGGATTCTGTCTGCCGAAAGCCCTCCAGCCACTGCTTCCAATCTTTCTACAGGTATGCTTTCTCTTAGCCTTCTTGACTCCATTAAAATTGTGGTTGCAGGACAGAGTGTGGTCTAATCTTCTTTTTTTTTTTTCTCAGATTCAAATATTCTCTGCAAAATTATTTGTGGGCTCCGAAAGTCTTTTTAGTGTTAGGTTATATAACAAAATGACTTACACTAGAATAAATTGAATATATGGTTTTTTTCTTAATTTAGTGATGTTTTAAAGTTTACTTTATTGCTTTCCAGCTCTAAAACTTTCTTTTTGGTTGTGGAAGAATGAATTATATTTTATTAAATATTGAGACCCTATATATACAAGTACTTAACAATCATATAAGAAAATCCAGTTAATTAGCAAGATTACACCAAATGGAAATAGTACTAATATATCTTTTACTCACTTACACACGTACACTTCTCAACACTCCCTCTCAAGTTGGTGAAAGAGATTTTTCATTTTTAGCTTGCCAATAATATTCTGAAACTCGGGGCTACTTAAACCATAGTCAATACATCTGCAAGTTGCAAAGTAGTGTTTGCTTATGTACGGTCTGGATATCAATCTACTCTCCTGTTTTTTCTTGATACAATGTTAACCTACTTCAATATGTTTCGTCCTATCATGTTATACATGATTGTGGGGCGATGCTATTTGCTGTCTTATTATCACAACAGAGCCTCATAGGTTGATTCTAGTGAATCTTCAAATCTTCCAAAATTATCTTCAGCTATATGAGTTAATACACCCTTTGGGAAATAGCCTTAGATTCTGACTCAACACTGGATTGGGATATAACATTTTGTTTCTTACTACTCTAAGTCACTAGGTTTTCACTAAGAAATGTGCAGTATCCAGATGTAGGTCTTTTGTCAACTAATGAACCTACATAGTCAGCATCAGCATACGTTGCAAGGAGCAGTCCATTGTTTTTCTTGAACATAATTCCCTTTTTTGGAGTACCGACAAATGCACTTCTTTAGGTTTGTGCAAGAATTGATTCACTACTCTTATTGCATATGCAATGTCTAGCATTGTATCTGATAAATATATTAGCTTTTCCACCAATCTCTGATCTATCTCAGCTCCTTTCTCTAGAGTCGCATTTTGTGATCGGGATCAACTGAGGTATTGGCAAATTTACATGCCAGGTTGCTAGTTTCCCTTAAAATAGTTAGAATGTACTTTTGCTAAGAATATGCCAGTCTTAGAGTGGGACACTTCTATATGGAGGAAGTACTTTAATCTTTCTAACTCTTTAATTTCAAATTCTTTCACCAAGCATTGCTTGAGAGTTGTGTCATCTCCTTCATAATTCAATGTAACAATAATATCGTCTACGTCCACCAGTAGGAGTGTGACTCCCACTGCCTCCAAGTGCTTGATGAACAAGGCGTGATCTTGTTGACTCTGTTTGTAGTTTATGGATAACATTACTCTGGCAAATCCTCTAAACCATGCTCTTGGAGACTGTTTAAGTTCATGAAGTGCTTTTTTGAGTTTAAATACCTTATTCTTCTTTATTTCGGACTTGGAACATTTTCCATTTAAAATTTCTCTTAAAATTTCTAAACCCTAAACCCTAAACCCTAAACCCTAAACCCTAAACCCTAAACCCTAAACCCTAAACCCTAAACCCTAAACCCTACTTCACATCAAACTGTAGTAACTGCCAATTAAAATTAGTAGGTAAGCATAATAGGATACATATTGTATCCATTTTTGCCATAGGTACGAAGGTTTCCGTATGTCAGAGTATATCTATTAGGCAGCAACTTCCGTTGTATCTCTCAGTAGTTCCATCAGATTATATTTGATGGTGAACATCCTTCAGCAGCCTATAGGTTTTTCACCTTTAGGTAAGTCCACCATTTCCCAAGTCTAGTTTTTCTCAAGTATCTGCATTTCAATATTCATAGCATTTTTCTATTCCTTGCGGGCTAAAGTCTTATATGAATTTTTCAGAATGGATATTGTATTCAGGCTCATAAGAAATTTTTTGTGAGCTGGAGAATAGTTTTCAAAAGACACAAAATTGGAATGGATAGAGTGGATGTTTGGTGCATTCTCTAGTCTATTTTCTAAGTACAATAGGTAAATAAATATCAGAAAAATAGTGATTCTCATAGTTTTCACCTTACTTCCTGTGCCCCACTCAAATTCCAGAACTTACTTTAGACCAAGGTTGAAGTATTTTCTTGTTTAATAGTGAACTCCCTTTTGCAGCCTAAAGATTCTTTTTCCCTTTAGGTAGGTTCACCATTTTCCAAGTTCCTATATTGTAACATTCATAGCAATTTTCTAATTCTCGTTGGTTAAAGTCTCAGATAAACTTTTTGGAATAGATATTGTATTCATGCTTATGAGAATTTTTTTGTGAGTTGGAAGAACAGTTTTCAAAAGATACAAAATTGGATTTGATAGACTGGATGTTTGGTGCATTTTCTAGTTTATTTTCTAAGTGCAATAGGTAAATCAGTATCAGAAAGACAATGATTCTCATAGTTTTTACCTTACTTCCAGTGTTTGGCTTAAATTCCTGAACTTGCTTCAGATCAAGGTTGGAGTTTTTGTTTCTTGAATATGCCTGGACAAAACGTGGGTCCAATATAGGTTGTGGGTTAGGCTCATCTAGTGAGGTTTGGATTCTTTTTGTGAGTTGTGATCTTCTACTGAGGTGATGTGCTTAGATAATAAATATTTGAAGGCAGAGTATCTGAAGGTAGGAGAGGAATTTCAAGAAATGAGTCTTATAAGTCTCCCTTATCTTTTACTATAGTCTTTCCTATAAGGTAAGGTTGATTGAAGAATGATTAAGTCTTAACAAAGGTCACATCAGTAGAACATAAAATTTCTTTGTGGATGGGTGATACACTTGTGTCCCTTTTGAAGTGGAAGAATAACTCAGAAAGACACTTGATTTCCCTAGGTTGAGTTTCTCTCGTGAAGATGTGCAATACACCTGGAAACAAGAGTGTATAAGGTTATTGGTGTCTCATAGGCCTGCAAATAAGTTAGTTAGAACTTCCACTGAAATTCCAAAGTCTAGTAGTCTAGATGGAAATCGATTGATAAGTACGTGGCAATTAACATGGCTTCTTCTCAATAGTGTTTTGGTGCATGGTTTTGAAACAAAAAAACATGTGTGGTAGCAAGCAGATAGTTCCTTTTTCCTTCTAGAACTCCATTTTGTGCTGAAGTATGGCACGGGAAAACTCATGAATATTTCTCTTACTTTGAAAGAAGACAGTTATGGTATAGTTAAAATAATCTCAGGCATTATCAGTTTTAAAACATTTAATTGTGGCTCCAAATTGTTTTTTAATCATGTTATAAAACTGGGAAATAATAGGAATAAGTTCTGTTTTAGATTTCAATATAAAAGGTCAAGTAACTTAAGTATGGTACTCAATAAAGGAAACAAGTTGCCGCATCTTAGAAATATTATTAAGATTACAAGATCTCAAGCATCAATATGAATCAACTGAAATGAAATCTTACTTCTGTTATTAATAGGAATGAAAGTTAAGTGCCAGTACTTTGCTAGTTCATACACATTGCATTATTATTTTTTTTTGAAATATAAGAAAAATATTTTTATGCACAAAAGTATGAAGGGGGTACCACTCATATACAAAACATAGTTACAAGTCAATCAAATTGTCTATGACAATCTCAAAATCATCTCAATATTTGATGTCATGGCCTAACAAAATAGAGATAAAAATGTGAATCTATCTATCTCTAATATTTGTAAAATTAGTCTCAATACCCTCAAAAGCCTCCGCATTTCTTTCCTTCCACACAATTCAAAAAATAATTAGTGGAATTAGGAACAAATGTCTTTTTTTTTTTACAAAAGCCCTCCGAAGCCCACAGCTCGCTACTCACGTTATCGGCCATCAGCCATCACCCAATTTAATCCCAGCAAGCCCAAATAGTTCAGATGCTGTAAGTTGTCAGACACGTTAAAAGTACATCCACATTGCTTTATGAACTTTCATTATTGCAATTAGAAAATAAAGAAAAAAACAGGTGGAGAAAAAGGGGTATCCTAATCTCTTGTTATATAACCATGGGTTGTCTAATATGGTGGTGGAGAGAATAGTGCTTATTCGTCCCAAGCCGTGGCGCATCCAATCATCCTTGCTGAATTCTGGTCTTGAAATTTTAGAAAGAGAATAAGAAAAGATAATTTTATAGTTAACATTATGAGATAATTTGGTTATTAATATTTATAAGATTTGTACACGATTTGGTACATAGAGAACATCTTGAAGAGTGAGGTAGGGATTAAGTGGTGTGGTTCCAATTCCTGTTACTATAGTTACTGAACCATCAGCAGTGACAATTTTTTTATTGCTGGAACACGGAGCATAAGTTTTAAATAATTTAGAGGAGTTTGTCTATGATCCAGAGAATATAACCATAGCTTGTCTAATTTGGCGGTGGAGAGAATAGTGCTGGATATGTCAGGTGTATCCAGGAAATATAACCCGTCCCAAGCCATAGTACGTCCAATCATCCTTCCCGGATTCTGGTTTTGAAATTCCAGAAAGATAATAAGAAAAGATCACTTTATAGTTAACATTATGAGATAATTTGTTTATTAGTATTTATAAGATTTGTACACGATTTGGTACATAGAGATCCCAAAGAGTGAGGTAGAGATTAAGTGGTGTGGTGCCAATTCCTGCTACTATAGTTAGTGAACTATAAGCAGTGAAAATTTTCCTATTGCTGGAACATGGAGCATAAGTTTTAAATAATTTAGAGGAGTTTGTCATATGATCGGTTGCTCATGAGTCTACTATCCGTGATAATGTAAAGATTTTATCTAATACATTTAAACCATGATAAATAGGAAATATACCTGAGTATGCTATGAGATTTGCACCTTTAGGTTTCTCTAGTTGCTGAAATCGGGTTTGCAGTCACTCAATTTCTGACTGGAAATCAAGGTCTTTGAATGCTTCTTCTCCTGAGCTACATTTGCCTGTCCCTAAGTTCTCTGGTGTCCCCAATCCTTGCTTGGGGTGGTCAGCTTCCCATGGAGTTTTCAAATCTTTTTCTCTGGTGTACCTTTGTTTTTTTAAAGAAGGTACGCCAAATGTTTTCCCTGTTCTTCCCACTAGTGGTTGAAGTGTAACTGTGTTTTAGTTCTTTCTCCAATTGTCGAGGTTTGAGGCCTTTAGTTGCCGTTATGGACCTTTCAGTGGTGCGGGATTCAAGCATAACTCCTCTTCTACTTTCCTATGCACTGAATAAGGACTTACTTCATTGATAGATGTGATCTCTTCTTTCCTTAAAATTTGTACTCTTACCTGATCATATTCCTCATTGAGCCTTGCGATAAGTTGGTATGTTTTGTCTGTCTCAACAAACTTCTTCAAGGTGGTTGCATCTTTGTTGTTTCCTATAATAATATTATGGTACTGATCGACCTCCTACCTTAAGCTTTTCAGAAGATTTGAATATTCTGTGAATGTCTTGTAGCCTTGTTTAGTTCTCAAAACTTTGATGGTCAGATCATACATCCGGGCTACATCTTTTTTCTCGGAATAGATTTTTCTGGATTAAATCCCAAGTGTCCTTTGGCTGTGGGCAGACACATAACTGGTTTACTGATTTCTGGTACCATAAAGTTCAGGACCAAGCAATAATAATAACATCTTCCTCATTCCAAGTATCATAAGTAGGAGCTCCTGGCTTTAGTCTGATACCAAGGAAATGACTTAGCTTTTCTTGACCTTTGAGAGTTATCCGAATTAACTGTGACTAGCTTAGGTAATTTTTGCCATTGAAGCGATAGGCAACCTGAATTAGTTGAAATTTGATTTTGTTATGTGAGGAGTTTCCCATTATGAGATGACTTAGCTTTTCTTGCCCTTTGAGAGTGGTCCGAATTAAGTGTGACTAGCTTAGGTAATTTTGCCATTGAAGCGATAGGCAACATGAATTAATTGAAATTTAATTTTATTATGTGATGAGTTTCCCATTAGGAAATTTTGTACCAGTAGATTGAGACGTAACCTCCGACATTCTTAAGGCATCCCGGATAGAATAGTGACAGCTCGAGGAACTGTTTCGGGTTTGATACTTGGTGCACAGGTGGAGCAGCGGCTGGTTGGCAGAATAGGGGGCGCACACTGGGAAGCGCTCAGCTGAAGGGTCTGACTGGGCACGTGGCTAGCTGTGCACTGCAGGAGGGACAACAGCGGGTGCAGCTAAAGGAGGCGAGACAGGCTGATCTGTGTGGCTGCAGGTGGCTGGTCATGCAACTGCTGGTGAGGCGCCTCTGCTGGTGTGTGGCTGCTGGTGACAGCAGCCTGGTTTAAGGCTAGTGGTGGCTGGCCGGCTGCTGTCTGACTATGAAGGTTGGTAGTGGCTGGTGTGGTCGCTGGCTATTAAGGCTGGCCCCTTCTGGGTTTTCTTGTTTCGGCAATGAACCGACTAAGATTTGTAAAAGTTCAGGTTTCGTACCACAGGACTCTGATAACAATGTGGAAGAATGAATTGTATTTTATTGGGTATTGGAACCCTATATATACAAGTCCCTGATAATGATGTTAGGAAACTTAATTAATTACAAAGGTTACAAGGATTATACCGAAGGGGTTTATTACTAATATACCCTTTACTCATTTGCACATGTACACTTCCCAACAAATTGTTGTCACCAACTTAAACTTCTTTTCATGTTCTCTTTTTATCTTGATTAATTCAAATGGTAAAAGGTCTCCACCCGTGTGCTTGGATGCTATAATTGTTCTATGGTAATTAATTTAATTTGTTAGTATTGCTTAAAACCTGTCTTCAGCTCACTATTTGTTTTAGCGTTTATTTCTGCTCTGAGCGGATATGTGTTTGAAGCCTAGGACTATTCGTGCCTATTAATTAATTTGTTAGTCCTGCTTGAAACCTGTATTTTGTTGGATCGGCAGCACCAGCAAAATACACTTCCTTTCCTCCTGTGCCTACAAGATCCTATTTTTCCTGATTTGGAAATAAATTGAAGAAAATATTAAAGGGCTAAATAGAGTCTTATATTTTGTCTATATACTATAGTTTGTGGATATCACCGATATTGCATTTTTTTGTATCATTAAAGTTCTATAACCAATGTTTATAAGATTAGATCTCAACATCTTCATGCCTTGTAGCATCATAAATAGCATATCAAGTAAAATCACCTTTCAGTATTAATTCATACCTGCACGAACATATGGACGAGGATTCTGAAATGGAATATTCTGATAGATAGTTCAACACAAGTAAATCTATACTTCATGGCATCCTTATTTTATTCCATGTTAATCTTGATAAGATGCAATTTATTTTCCTATTGTCGTCTTATTTTACATTAGAGAAAAATTTAACCAAGTTTACTTTGTTTGTACATATCCACATATCTTAACATGAAATAATATGAGTGTCATATGTGTATTCGATTTTTGTGAAAAAAGGTAAAAGTATCATACATGATTTGAGTTTAACTCCTGTCTAAGTCTAATATGTTTTACCTTTTCTGTTATTTTTCTACGCCATTTTGATTTACCTACTTTCACCAAATAAATGAAGATAAAATGTTTTGTTCCATTTCCTTTCTCCCTGACCTTTTTGTTCAAATCTAATTATTGTTTGGTAACATGCTATTCTTTTAGATAGTTTAATAACACTCGTTTGTCGCTTAGCACCTGTGATAGTTTTGTCTGTTTCAATTCTTTTATTTGTGTGTGTTTCTTCTCTATCCTGTTTATATTTCTAATAATTATGTAATTTAATGAGAATAAAATGGGTTTTCTCTAAGTCTATGTTCTGTTATGGAATACTATTTTTTATGATTCATCTTGACCTCTGTTATATTCTGGGCAATGAATCCGGAGATTCAGCGGGTTATGTATTCTTATCAGTTGTATTGCATCTGTAGGGCCTTATAAGTGGGTCAGCCGAGTTAAGGGAGCAGGCAGCACTTGGTCTTGGGGAACTTGTTGAAGTGACGAGTGAACAAGCATTGAAAGAATTTGTCATCCCAATAACGGGGTATGTATGTGGAATTTTATTTTGTACAGGTTGGGCGTTGAATATTTATAAATTGTTTGCAATTAACAAGATCTAGTTTGCTTTGTCACATCTATGACCTTGTTGTGAGAAAAAAGGTTTTTTATCAAACTTGCCTTAGAAGTGAAGATCTTACATCTATATTTGTTTTTGGTAATAATGCCTTTGAAATATTTTGGGAATGTAATTAATATGATTGTCTTGCATTTAAGAAAAAATTGGTTTTAGAATACCAAAATATATTATAGGTAAATTTTCAATCATAAGTATATTGGACAACTAATAAAAATTTATAATTATTCTTCTTTGCTTCTTGGAAAAGCAAATTTTCTTATTTTGGAAAGCAACTACATGATAGCTTTTGTGAAACCTCAACTGTTCCATTTGGTAAGCTTTTGGGTTCTTTTTTCTTTTCTTTTTTTTTTTTAAGTATAACCTTCTTTTCAGAAAAATTGTATTTGGTAATGTATTTTTTATTAAAAAAAATTAATTGGTGAAAGCAAATATGTTTCAACTTCTAAAAATTAAAAATTTTCTTAATTACAATAATATTATATCAATTTTATTTTCCTAATACTTTTACATATATTGTTATATAAATAAATATTTCGAACAGCACATTCAATAGCATTTCATCAAAAATATTTTGGCAAACAGTTTGATTACTCTTTTTAACAGCAAACTTTTAATCACAGAAATTAAAGGCAAGGTTTTTTGAAGAATAAATTTTTTCTTGTCACTATCAAAATGGACCCAATGTTTACTTTTTCTAACTATAAAGTTACGAGAAAAGCAATTAAGAAAACATCACCTAACTCTAATCTTTTAAAGGTACAGTTTAGGTTTAAAAGAAAGCAACTCCAGAAGTGCAATGGAACAAAGTCACTATCTGTTAAATTAGCATCCTTGTTGGTCTCTGCCTATTGTTATCAATTAAAAAGATCTTCAGATATGTATATGGTCTTTATTCTGCTACAATAATCTATATGAAACAAGGATGGTTTAGAAGCTCCTGGAAGCATCCAAGAAATTTTTTTTTTTTTGAAATAAACATGTATATGTATTAATATAAGCACCAAGGGGGTGCCACCTGTTTACAACATCTACAAGCATCTAAGTAAATTGATCTTGAATTTTGCCTTCTTACAAGGAATGCTCTTATGAAATCTTATGTAGACTTCAGTTATATGAAAGTCATAGCATCTCTTTATTTTCAGGTTAAATGTTAACTTCCTTTTATCTTTCAGTGCACATTTTTTAGGCAATTTTAACCTTACTTTTAGTGGCTTCTATTTGGTTTGAGGATCCATAAATTTGCAATATCTTAAAAGTTTTGTAGTTATCTTGAATCTAAGCTCTCATCTTCATTTGTTGTGTTAATTCCAGGCCTCTTATTCGAATCATAGGGGACAGATTTCCCTGGCAGGTCAAGAGTGCCATTTTATCCACTTTAAGCATAATGATAAGAAAGGGTGGGATGGCCCTCAAGCCTTTCCTTCCTCAGCTTCAAACAACATTTATTAAGTGCTTACAGGATAATACAAGGTTTGTTTCTAATTTATAGTTTTTATGATCCTATATTATGAAGGGGCTCTATAATGTAATATATTAAGGACACATCTATAGGAAAAAGTTCTATATCTAGCGCTACGTTAGAGTCTGGATTTGCACCCAAGTGGTGCCTTCTTAGCATCCTTTTTTTCCTTCTTAAAGAACAAGTGAAGAATCTGTCTATTTGGCGTACATTTATGTAGCTTTTTACTGTTTCTAACTCTTATTGGAGCTTAGTTTGAGCATGATTCGATGGAAGTAATAGCAAAATATTGATTTTTGGGTTTAAAAATATCAGATAAAAATTAATATTTTCAAATTTTTTGGTTTAAAAGCAAGCATTTGATAGAAGTATTGGTATTTAGTAGAAATTAATAATAATTTGATTAATCCACATTTTCAAATTTTAGGTCCTAAATGCAACTTTTTTCCTAGATAATAAGAGCTATCTCTTTTGGATGGACGTCTACCCACGTTGTGAAATGCTTGCTTTTGGCATAAGCCTAAACAAACTGTTTTTTTTTCATATATACTTTCTTTCGCTTAGTTGTCAATTTCAACTTTTTCAAGACAAATTTATAGTATTTTTAATGTTTTAAGTATTTTCATAAAATAACATTTGTTCTAACAATGGCTTAGATCTTTTAGTAGTGCTACGTATGGCTTTTTCGTCTTTTTTTTTCTTTGTTTTGTCTTATGTAGCATGTAAATGCAGGACTGTTCGTTCAAGTGCTGCTCATGCCCTTGGGAAGCTTAGTTCCCTCAGTACGAGGGTTGATCCTTTGGTTGGGGACCTCCTATCCAGTTTGCAGGTGATTTTTGTTCTTTGCTGCTTCTTTGCGCACTGTCCTTAAAGCTAGACTATCTACCACTTCTAACATTTGTACCTCCAGAGTGTGGATTCTGGGATTCGAGAAGCCATCTTGTCCGCTTTGAAAGGTGTCCTAAAGCATGCTGGTAAAAATGTGAGCCCTGCTGTTAGGAGTCGTGTTTATAGTCTCCTAAAGGACTTAATCCATCATGATGATGACCAAGTTCGAATATCTGCTGCCGGCATATTGGGTATTATATCACAGGTACAACGCATAATTCAAGAGCTTCATTTTTTTTCATTCTCATTATCTTTCTCATGTTGATATTCCCTTAGAAAATGAGCATTAACAATTCCTATGCACTCAAAATGTGATGCAGAACAGTAATGTATATCGATTATATGTTACACTAGCTGTCAGCACCTAGAAACCTTCCAGGGAAGATTGAGAGAAATATTTCTAAATTTTATTAATTGTGAACTGATTTCAAGTGTTAGTTTTTCTCAAGTATTTATGGACTCCCTCGAACTAAAGCAACCTAATCCATAGAAAATCAAATGATCTAAAAATATTCTCAGTCACCATAAGGGAAGGACAACGGCAGGCAGATAATGCCTATCCAAATCTATAGTTTATGCTGTTCATATCATAGCTTCTACGGAATTAAGAAAAACCTTTAGTTGCTACCATCTAGAATCTGCACGATTCTGTTCTGCATCAGGTTAAATTCATCAAAGATTTAGTTGTCACTTTTTATTGATTTACCATGTCCGTCAGCTTGCAGTTGATTTTTGGTTAATACTTCGTGTCTACTTTTCCTCCTCTCTCTGCTCTGGAACTCCAACTCCTGCATCTTATCTTGATCGTTCTTGTTTTGATGTTGACCTACCTTTATGGTTAATTGCAGTACATGGAAGATATGCAGTTGAATGACCTGCTTGAGGAACTCTTGGATTGGGACTATTCCCAGAGCTGGGTTGCTAGGCATGGTTCATTACTCACCATCTCATCCTTACTCAGGCACAACCCTTCCAAAATTTCTACATCTCTAATGTTCCCATCTATCCTAGACTGTCTAAAAGTTTCCTTGAAAGATGATGACAAGGTATTTTGGTTCTGACAGTTGTGCTTTCTTGTTATTTTGTTTTTGTCGCTTCTAACAAGTTACTGGAAATAGTTTCCTCTCCGTGAGACTTCAATCAAGGCACTAGGAAGACTTCTGCTTCATGAAGTTCAAAATGATCCCATTAATTCAGCTCTAGTTATAGATATTCTTTCATCAGTAGTGTCTGCTTTGCATGACGAATCCAGTGAGGTCAGGAGAAGGGCATTATCTGCACTAAAAGCTGTTGCAAAAGTGAGTTTTTGAACACTGCCTTCTTATGCACATTGGATACTATTTATGAGATTTTTATAAGATTTTGGGCACTGACAAGTTAGGTAATCATTCTGCAGAGTAATCCTTCAGCCACTATGGCCCAGTTGACAGTTATTGGACCTGCACTTGCAGAATGTTTGAAGGATGGGAGTACTCCTGTCAGACTTGCTGCTGAAAGATGTGCGCTGCACATTTTCCATTTGACAAAGGGTATCCCCTCCTGCAATGAATATGTAGCACTTTTCAGACTGCATTTTTGTCTAAAAACAAATTCTCTTATATCTTCCCTCTGCCAATCCTTGCCCCTCTTGATTATTAGCTGATAATTGGAAAAAGCCTAGTGGATTGTTAATTTAATTTGTTATATGGCTTGCAGGTAGCGAAAATGTTCAAGCTGCACAGAAATATATCACAGGCTTGGATGCTAGACGCCTATCAAAGTTTCCTGAATACAGGTATTAGAGAATTTTATTTACTAATGCTCATTGTAAAAAAGGAAAAAAAAGTTAGCCAAGGTCATGTATCTCAGATGGCATGAACTCTCATGTCAGAGTTGATGATTCAAGTTCGGGTTTTACCTATACTCAGTTTAAAAAAAAAATAGCTTTTAACTTTTGCATGAATAATAGGTTAGAGGGTGTTTGTATTTGTTTATTGAGCTTTGTGTACCTAATCTACGACTAGAGGCAAGATCATTAGAATGAATTTTGTGATGCACAATCATGCGATAACTATGCTCTAGACTTTTATTCATTTGATCAGAACATCTAGGCAGTCTGTTTATTCTCTCTCTAGTCATAATATTGAGCAGGATCAAATTTTGGAACATTTGCCTCCCTTTCTTCTGTAAGGAACCCTTTGTGTCTCCTCACACACCATAAAGAACGAAAAGAAAAACTCTTCAGTTCAGAAGATCAGAAATGTAATATTGTCTGTTTGAATGAGGAAATCTTCGATCAAAGATTTTAAGTTGTTTTTGTTTGCAGCATTAAATATTCAAGTAAATCCATATATTCTTCTATTTATGTGCAACTACAGGATTAGCATACACATGCATGTTTGTTTCAGGAACCTATCCTGATTTGTAAGAAAATAAAGGAGGAAGAAGAATTGCCGCAGAAACAGAAAAGAATCTAAAAGATGAGAGCAGAATTAGAATTTAGGGAGAAAAAAGAGTAAGGTAGACGAAGAGAAAAGAGGAATTGCTTTAGAGAGAAGTTTGAAATTTCATTCATATTTTCTGGATACAAATCAATTCTCAACTCTACCTTTTATAGCTGAAAAGTGATTAATTGAAGTTAATTTCTAACTAATCAAAACAACAAAACTAATTATTTCTAAAAAAATCTAACTACTATTAGTTGGATCCGAACTGTTCGTGGATGCAGGGAAATTAGGACCATTCTTCAAAAGGCAAAGAAAATTTACATATTTATGTGCTTCATAATTGATTTCTTGCTGTAGCTGATTCAATTCTTCTTGATGTTGGATTTGCAGTGATGACAGCGAAGACAGTGAGAACGACACCGGAAGTGGCTAAGAAGCCAGCAGTTTGTTATTGCCCATCTGTTTGAGTTTGAATTCCTGTGCAACTACTAGTGATTCTTCTCACAATTTTGGATTCCTCTGAACGAATTAAAGAAGAGAAAAATTTTTGATGATTGGAACCTTGAGGAAAATCTTTGAAGGGTTTATCTTTGTTCACATTAAATAGGTATACACACTGAAGCAAGGTAAGATACTCAAAATTTCCCCCTTAGGCCCATCACAGCATTAATGTAATTGTTGATGAGCCAGATACCGACGAAGCCACTTGTAGACACTGAGAGCCCGAGTTTGCTTCCATTAATTTATAAAGAATGTGAAATTTTGCTCTTGTAATCTATTTCTGATTATTTAATAATTCTTTTTTAATGTTCAAGAGGGTAGCTGGGAGGGAGCTTGATCCAGTTTTCTTTGTACGTCTGTAATGTGTTATATAATAACCTTTCTATCCATGATATGTAGTCCTTAATGGGACTATCTCTTAGTTATTTAACTTGAATCTTTGTTGGGATCTTCCCCAAAACCATTCTTATCGAGGTATTTTTGATGAGGAAAAGAATTCATTGAGTACCCCATTTGGTTTTTTTGTCTGTCTTCGTTTTGTTTTGTTGAAGTTTATGTGAATGAGTCTCCCATCCATAAACAGGACATAGAAAAAAATGGTGCATGCATTTTACTTTCACTATTTACAGTTTTCCCTCATCGCCCCCACATTCTTCTCTTGTAGCATGCAAGGTTGCTACAATATCTATACGTTACCTCCCATAAAAAAATAAAATATGATAAATTCGTATTTATTTATGTTTTATGTTTTCTAATTATCATAATTGGATGACTTAGATGGTCCTAAAAGAGTGAAAAAAAGTTAGTTTTTAGGCAGGTAGCTTTTCTTGCTCTTTAAAGCTAAGTAAATGGTTAAAAAAGTAGATTATGGGAAGAAGATTGAGGAATTGCAGTTGGATAGTGGCATGGTAGGTTAGATAAGGTTTGGTACATGCTATTGAGTCTTGATGATCCATAATTACTTGGTTCAAAAGCAACTGTAGTGACTTTGACATTTATTTCTAACAAAAATTATACTAGTAATAATAATAATAGTAATCATCTTCTTTCATCTCTCAAATGCTAATCTCTTAGATACCCTCTCAATAGTGTATAATCCGAGTAAAGACGACGAGACATTTAATGAGAATAAAATTACTTGCATTGTTTTTAGGAAGAAAAAGAAAAGCCTAAACGAAGAGTCACCTTTGCAAGCCCTTTTTTGGTAGCCAAATGGAGGAGTTCCAAATCAAGTTATAAGTAGAGGTTGCTTTGAGATTAAAATGATCATTAGTGACTTTTTAAGGAACAGTTTTGCAGCTTAAATAGACCAACCATTCTCATAAGTCCAGACATGAGGACAAGATACTGGCCAAGCCAACGAATAAGGATGGCTTTAGTGGAGTTTCTAAAGAGCATCAAAATATGTAGGATTTGAGGTGATCCATGCTTATACTAAGAATGATTCTCTTCATCATCAACATGCTTTTGTCCGAATAGAGAAAATGATATTCGAGACAATATGTCACCAACCAATTTGTCACATTACAAAAAAAAAAAACCTAATATAATCATCACTAAATATGCATGTTTGAGTAATAAGCTTATGAAGATGAGGATTAAGACGAGTACCATTAGTCTTCACTAGATCCCAAGGAGGTTGTTTTGTCCTTTATTGTTATTGCTCCAAATAAAGCACATGGTATGAAGATCAAGATTATTATAAATAAAGGTAGGTGGGCAAATCATTTACACGGCAAGAATAATAAGAATAGACTTATCTAACATGACTCTATTAACCCAATTAAGAAAATTCATTATCCGACTTACCAGTTTGACAATAAAGTATCAATTAAGTATCAGTAATTTCTATTTAGAATTTTCTTTAAAAAATTCTCAATTTTATAGTTTATGAATATATATAAATAGTTTCAAGAGTTAGTAGTAGTTTTAATATTACATATAAATTATATCTCTTTCTTGATATTGCTCGTAATGTTTGTAGATGTTCAGTAGTTCAAAACTAGAATAAGATTATGTTAGAATATCAAATAATAAAAGGGATTCAGAGTGAAAGATTGAGTGTTTTAGTTTGGTTCAATCCCACATAAAAAAGACAAAAGACAAAATGTAACTTTCAAAAAATATTGTGTTTTAATTTTAATTTTAAAAAGTATATTTTTAAAAAAATTTATTACGTTTCGGTTCGGAAAGAAACTAAACTGAAACAAACTAATTTTTTTAAATCTTCTATTTGCTTGAATCAAGAACCAAACTAAACATTATTTACTCAGATTTAGTCCAAATTATTTACACCAGTCCAAAAATATAAATATTTTTAACTTATATCATTAGAGAAGAATATATGAAATTTATTAAATTCATTTTTTCTTATGGCATCCCACATAATTTGCTAAAAATCATTCTGATTATCTTAGTCTACTCGTTCTAATTTTTTAAAAAAAATAAAATCATCAACAAAGAACATATAGGAGATGACATATCTCTATCGATGGTAAGAGACTTCAAACCCTTATTCTTGAGGAGAGACCACCACACAAACATGAACGAGTATGACAAGTGGTAATGACATTTTTAACAGGCATGTTAGTGAATATATTTCGATCTCTATTATATATATATAAAAAATATTAGTTCATATAATAACTAAAAGAATATATAACTAAGATTATTATCTACGTTATGGATTTCAAATTGAACCTAATCTCTCATCTTTTAACCACAAAAGTAAATACAACCTCCCTTCACAATTTTTTGGTCCCACCATTACCCAAATCAAACTTTTTTTTAGGGTTTACTTCCATGGATACACATACACATGTATGTGCACGTGTGCTTATATAATAGATATTCAATATACTTCCTCTTTTAAGGGTCTTTTTTTGTTTGTGATGTAATTAGTTTAGAGAGAAGTTAGTTCCATCCGAAATAAAAGAAAAGAGTATGCTTTAAGGTTTGGCCAACGAGCTTTTAATTTTGCTAATAATTATCATGTGGTTAAAAGGTAATTATCATTACGGTATTAATAAGTAAGGTTTAAGGCCTAATCGATTAGGGTATAATTATACCTAATCCGGTGGAAGTATAATTACTATATATTTCAATCATATATTCATATTTAGCTTACTATACACACCTACATTTATATATGTGTGTGTGTGTGTGTGTATATATGTGTATGTACCTATGTATCTCACAGAGAAAATCCGTGTAGGTATATGTAAAGATTGCCATTTGTTAATGGAGTAATTAATTTAACACCCAATAAATCCCAAATCCTTTTTCTTGCATAATTTAGCAAATTTCAAGAACCTATATAGCTTACTATATATATCGATCATACATGTTCCATTCAATAATTAAATTGCACTATATATATATATATAACATAAAAGGGAAGGAAAAATTAAATCAAAAGGATGTTACTTATTATTAAATTATATATTTATTTATATGATCAATCAAGAAATGAAATAATATTCTTGCATATAATAAAGAAGAGAGAGTTGATTGAGGGAATGCAATGGGATTCAATTCTTAATTAAATGTAATGAATAGTGGTTGACTTCTAGTTTTGCCAGTATAGTTAAAATTTGAATATATATATATATATATATATATACCCTTGATTCATGGCATAGGAAAAAAGAAGCTAAAAATTCAAAGATACATATACATATATATATATATATATATATATCCAAAACCATGAAGTATCATGCAGTGGGCACAACCAATTATTCGTTGATTATTTTATTTTGTACTGGCTTACTATTTAATGAAAATACATGCATGATATATATATGTATATGTATATGTATATATTTATTAATACCACTTATATATAATGAGTTAGCTAGTATACATGTATATATAGATTTTGATACACACTATCCATGATTATTTAGTTACCATCTCAATTAGTAATTACATTAATTTAATTTACAACAATTTTTGCAGTCAAAGAGAAGAAAATATTAAATTCTTTCATTAAATTATACAATATATATATATATATATGTGTATTATATGTATATGTATCGTGAGATGAACGCAAATGGGTGGATCGTCCATTGCGAATTTTAATGGATTAATTATTTCCAGTCAAATGCAGAGTTCCAGGTTGGGGAAGTAAAGACGCTGACAACATAAATTAATTTTCAACTAGTAATGGAGATTCCAGAATAGAAGCTTACCAAATTTTTAATTATTTAATTTATTACTTTTCGTGTTGTCTAATTAATTGATTAATTAATTAATTAATTAAATTTATGATTAAAACCAAATATTTAATTCTTCCATCTTGTATATAAATATTATAAAATATCATAGACAAGCATAGAATTCTCCCTCAATATGTTGAAATTTAAACAAAAAAAAATGACAATTTCTTTCTTGGGTTTCATCTTCAACCTCAAAATCCTAAACATATATATATATATATATATACATACACACACACACACACACTATATATATATATATGTTTAACCATATTAATTATATACGTAGATATTAATAAAAATTCCTATTAGTCGTAGTACATGTTGATTTTATTGGGGTTACACATAATTTTATGTATTTCTCCAAATAATCATGCCTTAAAGTCTTAAATAATTAAGATTAAAACATAAATACATTTTTAACCACATTAAGTGAATTCAAAAAAACATCATACATTTAAAAAAATCAACTACTTTTATATATATATATATATATATATATATATATGAGAGAATTAGAAGATATCATAAATCTAATTAGTATGTTTTAAATATATATATATATATAGCATGATTTTTTAACAAAAATTTAATTCAAAGCAAATTATATTTATAACTTCGATCCAATTTAATTTTACCCACATATCACCCAAAAATTACTCTTAATTTAAAATAATTCAAATAATTTACTTACATGTATATATATCATGATTAATATATTGGACAGACCTATAGTATTGAAAGCTTAATTAATTAATATACATTTATTCATATTGAAAACATAAAGTTATAAGATATTAGCTTGTCATTACTTGCTAATAGATGAAAGGAGAAAGAGATGATTTATAGTAGACGTTTTTGGCTTTCTTGATAACATCATATATTGAATTTCGAAGTACGTTGAAAATAGTAAACTATCTCACTTGCTTTGTCATCTAGCCAAACATACACATATACATACATAAATTTATGTATATAACGCCATATATCTAGCAAGAACACACTATATATGTATACATGTTAAACCATGCATATTATTAGCAAAAATTCCACTATTTAATTATATAATATACATATATATATATATATAATTACCCCAACCGTGTATACCATCATATATATATATATATATATGTAATAGGTAGGGTAAATCTCAGTGTAAGCTAGAGATGGTAGTGTATCGTATTCACAAATATAATTATATACACATATACACGCACAAACAAAAAACTACATACACATTTTGGTGTTGAGAAACTAATAAAGCAAGTCATAATACCAAAGTAATAATCAAATGAATGGTGCTTGGAGTTGGAAAAAAGGTAATTTAAAAAAGAAGAAAAGAGAGACTGAGAAGGGAAGAAAGCAAGGAAGATATATATGTATATATAGATATATATGTAATTATATATATATATATATTATATTAAAGGGTTAAATATGTAGTGAATGTTGTGCACGTCAAGACTAAAAGTGGGATAAAAAAGGAAGGTAGCTGGGAAGAGAGAAAAAACACATTAATGGCAAAGTGAATGGTGGCAGATGACATTGAAGAAGACTGCAATAAAAGGGGACCTGTTTAGTTGGGTAGGTCTGGGTTTTTATAGTGCCTTCAAGTCTTTTTTTTTTTTTTTTTTTTTTCCCCCTTTTTTTCTCCCAATTTCATTCTCTTCTGCTTATATACATATACATACAAAAATACCACTACCCAAAACAACCCATCTTCTTCTTCTTCTTCATTACTAACCATATACATATATATAATGTTATATGATTCCAATGCATGTCATCATGATTTTGATGCTGCTATCTCTGTGTATTGATCTTCAAATTTAATAACCCTTCACCCACCTCTCTTCACACAAATTTATAGTTTCAGACTGAGAGAAAAAACAGATTATACCAAGTCATTTTCTTCTTCTTGTTGTTAGGGATTTATATTTATTAATTTCTTTTTTTTTTCTCTAGTAATGGTGAGTTAGTTTTTTCATCTCTCTCTCAGAGCCAGTTTCTATCTTGGCACTGAATGAGAAAATCAATGGATAATTTTACGAGGAAGAAATCAAGATCAACACATCTTCATCAAATTAACCTTTCTCTTTTTTTACCAACTTTAATCCTTCTCTTCCTTCTCCAAAATCCCACTCTTGTTTCCTCTCGAAATTATACCAACTTCAGACCAGTTAGTAGCTTGAGACTCCGCAGGATTCAAAACCACTTAAACAAGATTAACAAGCCCCCTGTCATGACCATCGAGGTACGCACGCCTGTGTTTGTGGTCTGTATATACATACATATATATACAAAATGAGATTTTTGGTTTATACCTGCAGAGCCCAGATGGAGATATAATAGATTGTGTTCATAAAAGAAAACAACCAGCTTTGGATCATCCGCTTTTGAAAAATCACAAGATTCAGGTATTATATCTATACACCTCGCCCTTTTTAACTTTTTTGTTTGTCCTCTTCAGAATTTTCTTTTTCTTTTTCTTTTCAGTTTTTATTTATTTATTTTTTATTTTTCACCATATGGGTTCTCTGCCATCTAACAAGTTTCATCAGAATAATAAAAATTTTCATTTCCACAAAAAAAAAAAAATAATGCATCTTTAAGCTTCAATCCATTTTTTCCCCTTGTTTAAAAATAACACACGGTTTATGTTTATACACATATATATACATACATACATATAATTGGATGGTGTAACAGAGAGTAGGACCAGAAATGCCAAAAGCACTGAAAGTAAGAAAAGAAAGGTCAGAGAAAAGAAGCAACGAAGGTTTGAAGGGTGCATGGCAAATGTGGCATAGAAACGGGACAAGGTGTCCCAAGGGAACTGTTCCCATACGACGCACCACACTGGAAGATGTGTTGAGATCCAAGTCTTTGTTTGACTTTGGGAAAAAACAACGTAAGACTCCTAATGATCTCACAGCTAGACGTACTGATGCCCCGGATGTAGTCAGCGGTAATGGCCATGAGGTATGTATGTAACATGTCATACATCTTAAACCATCATCATCATCATCATCATTGAATAGTACTCATCCCAAGCCTTTCTTTTTCTCTAATTTTTTACTTATTTTCGATGTCATATTTTTAGTAATATGATGTTCTATTTTCTATTTATTTTACACGAGTTTGAATATTTTTTATTTTTTAATTAATAAAACCCATTTAAAATTAATTTTAATTAATATATATACACATATATAGAGAAGTATATATATATATATATATGTATGTATTATATGGTACTGTATAATAAAAGGGCCCATGAACTTAAATTTCAAATTAATAGGATTAATTGCCCCATGTTGCATTGTTTTGTCACATTTAATTTTAGGATTATGAGTATATCTTCCCATAAAGGGTCCCCACATTATTACTCCCGAAATTCCAAAAAATTAAGGGACTTATACGTGCGTGTGCACGATTATAGCATGCGATCGCCTACACCGGAACATCTCAAGAGGTGTACGGCGCCAAGGCCACGATAAACGTGTGGGACCCATCAATACAAGTGGTCAACGAGTTCAGTCTGTCTCAGATTTGGATCCTCTCGGGATCATTCGACGGCTCAGATCTCAACAGCATAGAAGCTGGGTGGCAGGTACTTGTTCCATCTCCTGTTCTCTCCTGCACACTATCCAACTTCTCCCGTTATTATTATTATTATTTTTTTTTTATATTTTCAAACTTTGGTAAAATTAAATTAAAATTAATATTGTAAATTACAAATTACAAGCTATTGGAAATGGTGTCTGTCTACAACGTTATTTAGCTATAATTTTGTATTATATTTTTTATAAATAATTTACATTATAATTAAATGGAGTTATCTAAAGTTTTAATTGTTCTACTAGTCAGGTCAGTCCGGAGCTCTATGGTGATAGCAGACCCAGATTGTTCACTTACTGGACAGTAAGATTTAATTAATTTATGAATTCTTTTTTATTATACTAATTAAATATAATCAAGTTAAAAAGTATATAAAAATGATTAAAAATTAATATAATGAACGTATATTTAGGATGACCATGTGCTGTATATGACCTCATACCCACGTGTGCTGCTGCATTAAGTCAAATCCCTAATTTGTTTAAGCTCGTCGAATCAAACCTACATGATGCATGAGAAGTTGCCCGTGTTTGACCCATGATGCATGATCGTCAAAGCTCACACACACGTATACATGTATGGTGTATGTATGTTGTAATGATGTCTGATCTGTTGCTGATCGCAGAGTGATTCATATCAAGCTACAGGATGTTACAACCTTCTTTGTTCGGGCTTTGTGCAAACCAACGGCAAGATTGCCATTGGAGCTGCCATTTCACCTGTTTCAACCTACAAAGGCAGCCAGTTTGATATAACCATTCTTATTTGGAAGGTAATTTTATCTAATATTAATTATTAATTTAATTAATTAAGAATAATATTTTACAACATCAATGCACTATTATGTATAATATATTTACGTTCATAATCTCCGTAATTAAATTAATTAGGATCCAAAACTTGGAAATTGGTGGATGGGATTTGGAGGCAATACACTGGTAGGGTACTGGCCAGCAGAACTATTCACACACTTGGCAGACCATGCTACTATGGTGGAATGGGGTGGAGAGGTTGTGAATTCGCGTGCCAATGGTGAGCACACCTCGACACAGATGGGCTCCGGTCATTTTGCTGAAGATGGTTTTGGGAAAGCAAGTTATTTTCGGAACCTCGAGATTGTTGATTCCGATAACAGTTTGAGTTCAGTGAGTGAAGTATCAACTTTAGCTGAGAACACAAATTGCTACAATATTCAAAGTGCTTACAACAATGAATGGGGAACTTATTTCTACTACGGGGGACCTGGGAATAATCCACGGTGCTCTTGAATTAACCAAGATAATCATCTAGACGACGTTATTTGGAAAAATATAAACGTCCATCAAATTCTTTTTGAAAGTGTAATTATAAAATTATTATGTGCTATTTCCTTTCTTGTTTATGCTAGTTTTATATGTTTAATTTTGTTTAAATGCGAGCAAGGAATTTGTATCTTATTAAATAAGACCAACTCCATGTAATGATGTTGCATAAACAGGTATGGAAATAGCAGTATCTCGAGTAGATGTATCAATTTTAATTGAATGTAACGCAATTTCAGTTCTTTATATTAAGATTTTTATTTGTCTTTTATCGTATTTGATTTGCTTATAATTATTTTTGATATAATAAAAACAATGAATTATTATTAAACCACATGATTTTAGATTGAGAGCAATTTCGAGGTAAAAAATAGTCGATCACAATTTTCAATCAAATCCCTCCCTAATCACAACATCAAGTCTAAACTCAATTTAGGCATATTTCCAGCTTGACTCTATTCCAAATGCAACATTAACATTAATGCCAAAATCAACCTTACTTGAGTATTGTGTTGAGACCAAAGTCGACGATGTGCAGTCTCAGCCTCGACCTTAACCTAGGGGTAGTCTTGAGCTAAACTTGTTGATGGCTTGGTCTTAAGCCCCATCACGAATAGGGCATGTAGTTTTAAAGTTAATGTTAGCCTAAGTTTATCCTAGATTGAACCCAATGAAACATAATATTATGAAAAAAAAACTATCTTTATGAGATATGTGTACTAATTTTATTGATATTGACATAGAATATTATTGATTCTAAAAACTCATTAAATTTTTATCATGTAAAGATTAAACATTATGCTCTCTACAAATTCTTTAAAACTTTTTTTCATTATGAATTTCTTTTTTGTATCATTATTGACTTAAATATTAGAGTGTATTATCAAAAGTAATCTTGATAGTAATATTTGTTATCTCAAGTTACTTTCATCATTCATCAACTTTTGAAAATTATTAATTATCTTCAGTCAATCTCTGAATTCATACAGTACTTAGAGATTGATTACAAATTTGATTATATAGGGAGAAATATTCATGGTTTCACTTTACGTTTATGGTTTTTTATGGCACACCTACTTGACTCCTCTCATATATGAAGTTTATGGTTTCTTTTCTTTCCTTTAATTTTCATTATGTGATGCGTTTATTATTTGATGTATAGTTTTAGCTTGACAATCAATAAGGGATCCAAAAAATCCATGACAGAGTATTGCTGCAGTTAGATAAAAGTTTTATTGTATGGTAATCATTCTTCTATTCACCGTTTGTGCAGTTTGCTCAATTCTCTACTCTATAACACAATTGGTCATATGAAGATTTTCATTTTAAATGCATAGTTTTGGGTTAACCATTGGCAAGAGATTAAAAAGATATGTCATGGAGTGACATTGTAATTAAATAGGAATATTATTAATATTCCTGAACAAAGTGACATCTGCCACCAAGTTCTTCACACACAACACCAATCATTTGATCAGTATCTGAACTCCTTGGTTCTTGCAAATCAATTTGTCCTACAACTGACAAGTTATATGCAACCAAATTCTCATATCTTTATGGTCTTCTAATCTATCTTCTTTCCTTACCTATTGCAATACTATATGGTTGTTGTTGATTATGTGTACTATCACTTTCTTAATTAAGATTATGCACTTCATTTCTTAAACTATTGGACTGAACTTCTAATTCTGCTTGTTCTCTAACACTGTGATATGATTTTGCTATCGTTTTTTCCTTCTGACTGTCTAATGAAACAAACTCATTAAATGTCACATCTTTACTGATAATCAATTTTGGAGATTTGGGATCACTACACCACAACCTATAGCATTTCGCTCTAGATGCATACCTAAAAAATATGCAATTATTTGCCCTCAGCTCAAGCTTACCATCCATAACATAAGCATAAACAGAACAACCAAATACTCTCAACTTAGAGTAATCAGCATGTGATCCATACTATACCTTAAAAGAAGTT